AGACTCGTTGTAGACCGCTGGTAAGTTGCCGCACTAAGCCCCCAGAGGACTAGCACACTGGAACAACAAACGCTACCGGTGAAGAGAAGTGTAGATCAGAAGGATCCAAGCTGTAAACACACAAACAAAGATTGAAACCACTGAGATCCACCGAAGGCCAACACCAACCGAATCTATGAGATCCGTCAGAGACACACCCCGCACACCCTCCAACAATGCTAAATACGCAATCGGGACAGAGCTAGGCAGGAAGACCATTTACATCTTCAGGAAGCCGCCGTCGCCCCGCCTTCCAAATTAGGATTCAAACTCTAATCGACCTAGAAAACACATAAAAACAGAGCAGGAACCCTCCCGCAGGGAAGTGCTGAGGTCCACCACGCGTCCATGGCCCTAAGGCCATCAGAGACGAGTGGACCGACAACAACACTAAAGGGAGGCGAAGAAACCCTAACCGTCTGGGCAGTCGCCGGAGGAGACGAAGGGGTATGCATCACATTAAATTAGTAGGATTCTTGATATCCTTGGAAGAAATCAGTAAGGATACATGGTAAAATCGCATAATGACAAATCACAATCTTCAAAGACTTCAAAATAAATACAAAAAATAGCGAGTTATACGTTCTCTTAGATTCAACAGGAACGGCATAAGAGATCATGCACCTTTTTACATCATGTAGGCATTTTTACTCACGCAGAGATATATTGGAAGCGGAACTGCTGGCTTTGAAAGAAGAAATTTCCCTGACACTACAGTGAAGTAATTTACCCGGCGACATCAACCCAGATTGTTTGGAGGCCATCGACATGATAAGAGAAGGAGCTGAAAAGAAATCAAAATACGCTCCATCAATATTATGGGAGAGAGAGATTTTTGCATTACCCATTCTCGTCGGAACTGTAATAGGGCTAGTCACTTCATGTCTAATTTTGGTACTAGGCTGCAATGCCGCACTGCGGCTTGGTTAGGCTATGGTCCGAAGGAGGTCCTGGAGACTGCTGAACGAGATGTAAATTGAACTATGGTACGGGAGAAGAGAAGATACCCTCGTCATCTCACCCACTTCTCGTCCATTTTACCTCCTCTTTATATCTTGCAAGGCCAAAAGAAAACGCAGAGAGCAGCACATGATGTTGATTATGAGAGGCGTGACAGCAGCCCCTTGCTTGATTTCCACGGTGGGATTAAATGTTTCTTTTGTACCCATGAAAACGTTGCGCTGGCTGCTATGATTAGACAGCACAAAAATTTGCACAGATCATGGTTGATGACAGTTTAAATCCACCCACCTAATCACCCTTTTCCTTTATTATTACCTAAAACTATAGTATACGTAGTCCCTTGATCACTCCCCCAAAAAGTTCTCCCCAAAGTCATCCTCGCCATTAAACAAAGCCGCGTAGTACATAAAAATGGAACGGAAATAAACAACAAAAACGCAGCAAACAAGCAGGCAGAAAACGAGAGAAGAAGGCAACGCAACATACTACTACTCCAGAGAGCAAGCAAGCAAGCAAGGCTCGGCTCTGCTCGGCGAGAGGGATCTTTGACCGGCTCCGGTCTCTGTCGCCCCCCTCTCTGCTTCCTCCTCATCTCATCGGCCCCGTCCGTCCGTCCGTCGCTGCCGCTGGCGGATTCCCACACGGCCGCCACCGCTGACCGCGTCTACACCAAATCCCCGCACCGATTTAACCACCCCACCCCACTCCCCCTCCCCCGTATCCCCACCCCTATCCCCCTCCCCA